CCACTATCGCAGATTATCAATCATCGCTCATCTCACACGCACAAACCCACAAACAACGCAACTCCTACATCTGTAAACCCTAGGTTCCATTTTTCATGGCAAAAACCAAATTGCCTCCCATAGCAGGCGACCCACCAACTCCCGGTGCCGGTGTTGATGCACACAGGCGATCGAGCACTCGTATCAAGCAAATCCTGGCCAGAGAAAAAAGTAATCTCATACAGAAAAAGCTCGATTTCAAAAAGAACATGAAGCCAACTGGAACAAGCAAGGAACTCGGCAAATCCCGACACATTAGGCAGAGCGCCAACCCAGATTCAGACGACTTTCAGTCGGACCATGGGGAATTTCATCACAAAGATGCTCGGAGACCTCAAAAAAGAAAGATCCCAAATGCGGCTGAAGCAGAAGTGTAGCGGGATCCAAATTATCATGTTGAGGATGAAATACACGCTGTAGTAGATGATTCTGAAGGCAAATTGAGTGATGAATATAAGGATGAGCAAATATCGGGGATGGAATTCAGTAAAAAAAAAGAAGGATGGAATCCAAGAAGGACGTCATTACAAAAAAAAAGAGGACAAAAGATAGCAGGATTGTAGGAAATACAAGTGGGGATTCTCAGATAGGCAAAATATTCTAGGTGAACTAGCATTGTTGAATGTTATCTGTTAATTTCATATATTGAGTTCCTAGTTTAGAAAGTCAAAATATTGTATTTTCAATATAATGTGGTCCCATTGTTGACGAAGTTCAGTTTCGTTGATATAAATTTGACGAAAAAGTTGGTCACACTGAACCTTTTAAAATTGTTGAAGAATACTCTTTTACTTTGATAAGATTCATGTTTGAAATTGGTAATAACTAATCTTTTTTTGTAGGTTTGTTATGGTTTGTAAATTTTATTTTCTGTGTAAAGGTCTTTTGTAGTCATGTTTGAACATTTTTGTTTGTCCAGTGCATATCTATAGTTTATTTCATGAATATGATGAGTACAATTGTACAAATATTTGAAACTTTTATATTATATCATGTTTTTACAATGTTTTTTCTGAATATATGTTGATTTTTTGTCATGTAAGTGTAATTAGCGTGTTTAAGTCCTAGTTCATCTGAATAGTTTATTTCACGAGTTTGTGTAGTTCAGTTGTCTGTTTTGATAATATTAAGTCACATAGCATATGAATATCTTTAGTTTAGTTGTCTGATGAGTATATGAGTAGTCTATTTGATGTTTATGTATATGTTACTTCAGTGTAATGTGAGATTACTTCACATTGCATATGTATAATTTAGTTTAAATCACTACTGAGCTTATTTATTGTATATATGTATGTATATATATATATATATATATATATATATATATATATATATATACATACATCAAAATGTATATATATATATATATGTGTGTCTGTATCCATGTCAAATTATAGATGTCTCAATATTTACTCCTGAGTTTTGGTATATGTACTATATATGTGAAACATGTCAGAGAGTGTTTATGATTGGTAACCTGTTAACATCAAAATATGTCATATATTTAGTTATTGTTAGTTCAAGAATCATTATATGTTTAGTTCTGGTCACCACAAAACTAAAAATTGAAGGTTTATGTTTGTTATGTACAATGTTATCGAGTTGTCACATCAACTTCTGTTATTTCTTGTAGGAGTGGGAATTGGTCATACCAAATCCCGGGGATTTAAATGTCAAGGTTCTAAACAGTAATGACAACAGTAGAAACGATTCTACAATTAGTGAAATCCAGCGAATGCTTTCAGCCGAGCAGTTAGATTTGTTTAGAGAATCTGCATTTGGTAAGTTCTTGGATCTACCACACTGCAAGGTTCAAAACCATCTTGTCAATCAGATTCTTTTACGGGAGGTGCATCAATCAAGGAGCGACGAGCTTTGGCTTGATTTTGGGGGGAGGTTGTTTCGGTTTGGCATCGAAAAATTTTCCCTGATAACAGGGCTGAAATGTACAGGCCCTTGCAAGAAGTTGAATATTCCTCAAGTAGCCGATGGAATGTACGACAAATTCTTTTCTGGCGTTGGATTAAATAGAAACTTCATCCGATGGCAGTTTCTACAAAAATACTGGAAAAGCGATAAAGATGCTGTCAGATTTGCCAAGTTACACTTACTTGCAAATTTTTTAATTGGGTCGCAAGACACTCTTAAGGTAGACAGATGCTACCTTGACATGATAGACAGTGCCGATTGTGACGATTTTGATTGGGGAACCGAAGTGTTTGAGTTCACGATGCACCATCTGAAGAAATCTACCCAATATTGACAACAGATCCATAAAGCCGGGAAAACAGTGAGTGGTGGCTACCTCTACAGGTGCTACGGGTTTATCCTTGCCCTCCAACTTTGGTTCTACGAGGTTTGCACCTCTGCAGATGGTGTCATTTGCACATGCCGAAGCGGAAATGACATGCCCAGAATGCTCAAATGGGAAGTACGTGGCAGTCACAATCGTGCCTTTATGCAAAGAATATTTTCAAATTTGGATTCTAGCAAGGTAATAGCTATATTTGTACGTAATTATTTGCAAGATATGTAAATATGTTCTTGTATTCATTTAAATACCCCCATACACTAATTTCTTAATTTTCTTTTTTCTCGTCAGTTCAAGAACTTGATACCCACCGACGAAGAGAAACACACATTGTTTATCAATGGTTGATTCAAGAGCAAGAATGAGTTTAAGTGTGACGAAATCCCGACAACCGACCACCATCAGCATAAAACTGAATCAGACGTCATAAAACGTCTTGACACACTTACCCATGAGGTTGAAACTCTGAAGCAAATGTTCCTTGACTTTTCCAACCGGGTATTTGCAGAATTTGCCTTATTCAAGGAAAAGTTCAATGTAAGTACATATTTGTCAAAGTATCATAATTCTGATAAATATTGCAAGTA